CTCAGAATCTGATTATCTGGCCCAGTGGGACCCAGCCTGCAGCCCCTCCTCCATCCCTTTTTTGTTCCTCCAGAAACTCCAGCTCATCTCACTGCCAGAAGTAGGAGAAAGGTCCCCGGACCTTGTATCTTCTATTTCCCATCTTCAGAAGGTAGGAGAGGAGGCATCTGAGAGGTGGCCTGTGTTCCCCAGGTCTAGCACCTTGGGCCATAGTGGCAGGGATGGAGACTGCTGCAGGCTGTGCACTTTTTCCAGGGCTGGTCACTTTCTCCAGGTGCCACACGAACCCAGATGTTCAGCCTGCAAAACTTGCCATGGCTACACCTTTTCCCTCCTGCTCTGGGCTGCAAGGGGTTAAAGGGCCAGGGGAGGGGGTGGGAGTGGCAGAGTGGTCTGGCCCTAGGCACTGGATTGTAAAAGCAAGAGCAGTTTAACTACAGGTCATGCCACTGTGGGGACTGACTTCTCCATGCAGGGGACTGAAACCCAGTCTGGACAAGTCCACAGGCAGTGCATCCCCACCTCCTCCCTTTCCCCTCCCTTGGCTCAGCCAGCCTGGCCCAGCCCTGAGGAAAGCGTTGGCAGCTGGAGCTGGGAATGAGGTGGCAGAGCCAAGAACAACAGAGGCACCGCCTGGGTGCTGCACGGACCGACCCACTCCTGGTCTGACTGTAATCCCGCCTGTCACAGTCGGAGGCGCCGCCTGGTTGCCGGGGTGCTGAGCAGCCCCCTCCTGGTCTGACTGTAGGCCTCCTATGCAGCCAGCCCCCTCCTCCCAGTCTGTGGTCCTGACCCTACTGGGCCATACCTGCCTCTTTGCCAGGCCTCAGTGCTGGCTCTGGAGGTCACTCTCATCCCCTGCCTTTGGGTCCAGCTGTCCCTTTCCCCAGGTCACTTGGGATTCTCTCCCCTTAGCCTCCCTGGTTCTCAGGGTCTCTCCACTGCACCCAGATATTTCTGGGAAATGAGTTGCCTCCTTCACAGATCTCTGATCCTGTCTCCCAGCTTGCACTTCAGTTTGCTAGAAGCTCTTTTTTGGTCTAACTCCCACCTATCCTGCTGCAAAAGCAATTCCATTTGGGGCAAATCAGAGCCTGGCCTTACCAGATTTGAAAAGGGCTGGGTCCCTGAACCCAGAAAGACAGACAATAATTCAGTACTCCCCTCTGTACCGAGAACGGAGCCAGACTTAGAGGCAGGATGCTTGAGTCTGCTCTGTGCTGAGTGGAATCCGGAGGGCTCATCGTGGCCAAGAGACACAGCTGTCTTGCTCCAGTGGCTCCAACCCCTCTCTTCTACTCTCAGACTTCCCTATCTTCTGTAGAAGTCCTGCCTTCCTTGCTGCCCCTACACTGAATGGCAGACACCCAGGTGTCCTGCCCCACCTGGGTTTAATTTCCACATGAGTCCCAGCCAACAAACCTTCTGACCCAGCAGATGCAATAACACTGCTCTGGGCGAGGCTCTTCTACAAGTGCTGAATTTGGCCAGAGTATCTCCTTGTTCCCAGTTGGGGGTGAGGGTGGGGGCTTCATGACACTCCTACTCTTCTCATCCCCAGTCAACCCTTCCATTCCCAGCAGCTGGGCTGGGTGGTCAATCCTCCCCACTCAGTCTCAAAGAGGTGATGGAGAGGGTGAGGGGGGGTCTCTTTTTCCCAAGTCTCATACCCCTCAATCGTGCACACACCCCCACTCACCCACATTCACACTTCTCACCATCCAAAAACCTTCTCCTACCCATCTCTGTTCCTTCTGGTGCAAAACCAGCCACTTTCCTTTTAGCCACGCTACAGTGGAACAAAGCCCCAGAATGTTCCTTTCTTAGATCTCTCAAGCTTGACTGTTTTCCTCTCCACTCCACCCCCATCCTGCTCCTGCTCCCCCAGCTTTTCTCACCAACTTTGCACCCTCCCCCTACTTGAGTCTCCAGATTCCTGGGGAGCCCCCAGGGGTATAACCAAGGCTTCTGGAAAGGTGGAAGGGGTCGCCACTGGCAGATCTGCAGCAGATTTGGTCATAATTAAAAGGCCACTGCACTGGGAAATTCCTTCTCCTTATTGATCCCAGCGGGAAATTAAAGCCAGTTGTTTGTGACTGAGTGGCTGATTTGGCTGCAGCTCCTCCCCATGGCCTGGTTTCAGGGCCCTAGCCCCTACCCCTAGGCTCCCCCCTTCCTCTTCTGTTAGCCCCTCTTCCAGTCCCCCTCAGCTAGCCCTCTCACCTCCTGCCCCTCAGTCTGCTCCAAGCCCCTTCCCAGTGTCTTTCCTAAGCACCCCACATGCCTGCTGCTCCCCTGCATATAACAGGGCTGCTACAAGCTGAGGCCTGGGCCCAGCTATTCAACTCCCTGCTCAGACCCCCTACCCACCTCCCTCAGCCAGGGCTGGGGCTGGGGTACTGGGGCTGGAGCTGGAGCTCAGGCCCAGAGCTGCCAAACCACAGACGCTCACATCTGGAAAGAATTCCCCTCCCAGTCCAACTTCCCTTTGTCTTACTTCTGTCTCTTTGGAAATCCTGGCCAGTTGGCTGGTGGGGGAAGTGGGGAAGTGAAGGGAGGGGAGCAGGCCCAGGCCTCCCTGCCTCCACACCAGGGAACCCCCCTCCCTGGCTCCAGCCTCCCCAGCATCCTCAGCCAAGCCATCCAGCCTGTGCTCCCACTGCTCTAGCATCCAGGGGCCAGACCACCTCCCTACTACAGGTTTGGTCCCTGCATCCTGGTGGCCATCTTTTGGGTGAGATTTTAACATCCTTAGTCACAAGACTGTAGGGGAGAAGACCTGCACTGGCCCTTTTCTCTTGCAGGAGGAGGGATGCCTGTTGAGCAGGAGACTGGGCTCTTCCTGCTGGGGGGCCCAAGAGGGCTGGAGTGGAGTGGAACAAAGTGAAGGTGGGCATGATGACCCGGGTGGGAGAGGCAGGGGGCAGTGAGTGGAAGGAGGCAGCAGGAGTCTGGTTTCCACCATGTTCCCTCCTCCAGCCTCTTCTCATCCCTTTGGCTAGGAGCCGGATTTCACTGTCAGAAACTAATCCCCCTCCCTTTACCTACAGCATTGCAGGGCGCCGAGGCTGGGGGAGGAGCCCAGGCTGTGCCTGCAACCCCAGGCCCTAAGCACTCCCCAGGGACCACCCCCTTTCCTTCCACCACCTCTGCTTTTGTCTGTCCTTCAGACAACTCCTTGCCCTGCTTCCCTCTTCCGGAAACCCAGGTCTCCCCACGCCCCCAAATAAGCTCTCCCACACGAAACCTGGACCCCTAAACCCAGGCTGAAGTATCTGGCTCCCTTGTTCAAATCTGACAGTTGATGCGCTACCGCTGTGTGGGGCCGCTTCGGGAAGCCCTTTCTACAGTGTAACCTTCATCCCTCTTGCTGCGGAGTCAGCCTGCCTGCTTTACTTTCTCTGCGCACCCATTATTCAAAGATTTTCCTCTCCGCAGCCCAGAGGCCCGACCCACAGTACTTTCTCCAGCCTCAGTTCCCAGTGCTGCCGAGGTCAATCCTCTGGCCCCTCTCCTCTGACACCTTTCCTCAAGGCGCCTGCCCAGCTCCCACCGAAGCCCCCAACTCCCTAGACCGCTTCTGGGTTCCAAGCGCGAGGGCTCAGAGATCCAGACAGCCTGCCTGCTCCACCCTCGGCCACGCTGGCAGGGAGGGGCCAGGGCAGGGACCCAGGGCTGGGACCAGATGTGGGGTTTTCTTCCCGCCTGGGCAGGAGCTAGGAGGGCGAGTCCTGGGAGGGTGGGGAGTGGGGTGCGGGCAGCCGAGCCTGTGCGCCGGTTAGCCGAGGGCGACAGGGCCGCAGGGTCCCTCAGCGCTGGACAGGCTGGGACGGCTCCTCTCGCTCCAGGCCTCGCATCTCCGCTCCTCTGCGGTTTCCCGCCTCGGGTCCCCCGGGCTGTCTCCGAGGCTCCCCGTCTGACCTCCATCTGTTTCCCTGTCTCCTGGCCCTCTCCACTGGGGTCTCGCTACTCCCACCCGGGTCTCCGCAGGAAGCCGTGCCCTACCCCCCCGCTTTGATCTCCCACTTCAAAGCAAATCTCCGAGCGGCGGCCTCTCCTTCCGCCTGGTTTACGGCTCAGGACTGTGACACCTGAGACCCCGCTCCTCGTCCTCCCCAGCACCCAGCCTCCCTCCCATCTAGGTGGCAGCGCGGCAGCGCCCGGGGCTCCGGGACTCTGTCCCCGCCTCCCCTCCCCGCCGTCTGCCGCTTACCGAGACCCCCTCGAGGTCGGGGGAGCAAAGCAACAGCGAAAGCGCTTTAATAAAGAGCTCGTGTCAAGTGATTGGCTGTGACCTCTGCCCTCCCCAGCCTCGCACCCCGGGCTCCTGCTTAACCCTTCGATGTCCGCCCAGTGCATGAAGATGAATGAGTAGCCTTGTGCCTAATTCCAGAGTCCCCAGGCACTACCCAAGCCCGAAGCCGGCTGGGGGCTGGGGGAGGGTCCCATCCTCTCTGAGTAGTTCCAGCAGGGGGCGCCGTTGCCTCACCTAGGTGCCTGCCCCCTGGAACCCCGGCTCTGAGTTCAGAGCCGTCCCACTGAATCTAGTTCAGGTTTCAGTGGAGCCGGAGCTCAGCCGCCCATTCCCTTCTCCACCCAGCTCTGCCTCGAGATCTGGAGTTGAACCGCTGGTGGGTCGCCGAGTGTCCGCCGCCAGAGAGTAGAGTGCACCGAGTTTGGAGGGGACAAGGGGGAACAGGCGAAACGTGGGAAACACAGGTGGGGAACAGCCACGCGTGAGCTCCGAGCATCTGCGCCCCAGGCTAGGCGTCCCCCGCTCTCCGCTGAGAGCGCAATTCAAGTGCTCGCCTTCTGTCCGCTCCCCCTTCCGCACGCTAGCGCGGGAGAAGGCAATCTCAGCCTCCAGCGAGCACTAGACCCACCCACAGGGCTAAATCCAGAGGTTGGGGGCTTGAGCGCAGGGCCCCCCAGATGGGGGGCGGAGCAGGAGGCGGGGCCGCCTCAACCGGGCAGGGGCGGGCCGTGCAAGGTATAAAAGCTGTCCGCGCGGGAGCCCAGGCCAGCTTTGGGGTTGCCCCCTGACGCGTCTTGGTTCCTGAGTCTCACCACCCAGCGAAGGCGGCAGCGACTTCTTCGACTAAAGGACTCAGCGTCCAGTGCTGCAGCCGAGGGATCTAAGGGCACTGCCACCCGCGCCGCCACCATGCCCAACTTCTCTGGCAACTGGAAGATCATCCGATCCGAAAACTTTGAGGATTTGCTCAAAGCGCTGGGTAAGGAAGTTTTCCAGCCCCCGGGAGAGGCGAGGGGGACCTGGAGTCCTCAGAGGTGAAGGTGTGAAAGAAAGAGGGACCGGAATTAGGGGCGTGAGAGGCTGGGCATCTGCATCCCCAGAAAAAGGGGCTGGACGCCTGCGTCCTGGGGCGGTGGACCCGGACGCCTAAATCCTGCTTTCTCCCGCGGGGCGCCCACCGGTGCCAGCTCCAGCGGTGACTCAGAGCCTGTGAATCAAGTAGAAACCAGAAGCACCAGGTCGGTCTTCGGGGGGAGGGAGGGCTGGCCTCAGCGCCGAACCAGGCTGACCAGGGCACCTGGCTCTCCGCGGTTCAAAAGCTGCCGCTGATGGAGCTGTGAAACCTGCATCCAGGCTGGGAGCCTGGTTACCTAGCCAGCCAAACCCCTCGGAGACATTCCAACCCCGTTCCTGGGTGTCCCCACCCCATCCCCCGCCGGTAACCCAATCCCTAGGGCAGGTTCTTTGCCCCTGCTCCTGGCTCCACCTACCAGGTGATCCGTCGCCCCAGTGCCCCCACCCCATTCCTTCCCCCTCTACACTTTCCACTCCCCGCCCCCCATCTGTGAGACAAATAGTTTCCTACAGCGAGCAGCTCCAGAGACCTAAAATCGCTCTGAATAATTATCACTTTCTTGGATTTCAACAAATGGCTTCATGTGAAACTCGGACCCCCCATTTCTAAAAATCCAAGTTCCCACCTCCCTCCCTCCCCAGAAGGGCCTGGGCTACAGCCCCGCTGGGTGTGTTGGTCCAAGGTGGGGAAAGCTGACTCAACCCAGGCTGCCCTTCCAGCTTTCCCCACCCACATTCTGCCTGCCCTATGGGGTCGGCCTGGGGAAGGGGAGAGAGCCAGAACTCATGCCTGGAAGAAGGCTCTGGAAAGATATGGAGGCTAATTGTGGACCTCAGTCCTTGCAAAGCGTCCTGGGAGCCCTGGAGCCCAAGGGCATACATGCCACTTGATGCCGGTTGGGCAAAGGGGGTGGGGAGGGCACCTTGTGTGGGACAGGGGACTGTTGGAGTGAGTCTGGACCTAAGAAGGGTCTGGAATGCTGTGAGGAGAGCAGGGGTTTCCATCATTCATTGCTGTTAGTTATTTCTGCAATCTAACGACGATACTTCTTGTAGTCATGTCAGTCTTTCTTGCTCTGCTCCTGCTGAAATGAAAGACCAAAGGATAAAAATTTTCCCTGCAGAAAGCCTAGATGCCACTCACTCCCCATCTTCTCTGGATTCTGGCCCCTCTCCCCAGTGGGTGAGGCACATCCCTAGGCCCCATCTGAGGAGTAAGATCCAAAGCCCAATCCTGCTGTCTGTCTTCAGTCTGTTTGTCCTCCCTGCAGGGTCTCTCAGAGCCACGTGCCCTCCTCAGGCCCTGCTAGGGGGCAGATTGAAAACAGACCCGTTAGACAAACACAGTCCTGAGTCAGCCAAGGTCACTGAGCAGGGCCCCCAGCTCCGTAGAGCTGTCGTGCCTCTGCAGGAACCTCAGTCCGCTCACATCCCCCTTTGCCCTAATCAAGGGCCCATCTCGTGGTGAGGGATGCGTGGGTATTTGGGGGTATCTGTCCCATCCAGTATCATGGTCATGGCACATAGCAGATTCTGTGGCTGTAACAGGAAAGATTAGCAAGATGGACTTCCCAGGGAGCAACAGAGAATGAAGTAGCCTCTTTGTCCAAGATGTGCCTCTTCTAACAAGTCAGAACTTTCGGACCTCAATAATTTCTCTCTGGGCAAAGAGATCGCAGCCTCCCTCCCCTCCTGTTTGGAATAGGCTGGGTATGCCTATTTGGCGCTGAGGGGGAAGATGATTTGTTTCTCATGGAACCCAGGTCTGGAGGAGGGCCAGGGAGTTGGCCAGAGCAGGGGCAGGGCGTCCTGCTGCCTGGCCAGGGCCCTGCCTTCTGACCTACTGCATCTCTGGATCTGGTGGCCAGGCCAAGTGCGGTGGGGATATGGGGCCTGCGCCCCTTCCTGACAAGCCTCCCTCGCTGCTTGTCTTCCTACCAGTTGGGGTGCACTCCTGTTCCTCCCACCCGTCTTAACAACCGGGGAGCAGAGAGAAGGGGTTCAATCTGGGGAAAGATATGGAGCACACAGGGAGTCTGAATCCACAGAGGCTAAGTGAGAAGGCCTGACCACCTGTGGGGCACTGGGGGATCCTGGGGGACAAATCGGGGAAGGGGGACAGGGGTATGACTTTTTGTGTTCCCTCTTGTCATGGCAAAGTTCCCTTGAGGGGAGTGGGGCACAGGAGCCTTCCAGGAAGGCAGGTGAGCAGGCAGCTGGATGCAGGAAACTTTAAGCCCCAGCTCTGGCTTTTCACCTTCCTTTTATCAGTAACAATAATAGCAAGAGTAATAGTAGCCACTTTTTCCTGAAAACTTCCATGTGTGCCTGGCACTGTGTTTTCTAGGTCCTAAACATACAACATCCCATTTGATAGGATTTAAAAAAGCGATTATTTCCATTTTACAGTCAAAGAATCTAAGGTTCAGAGAAATTAAGCCATTTGCCCAGGGCCGGCCAGCCAGCAGCCTGCAAGGGGGCTAAGACAGGAGGAAATCACATCGAAATGGATCTCACTCCAGAGCCTCTGGCGTCCCCTCTGCTGGCCATTCTGGGGAGGGAAACCATTGCCCCATTACTTCCCCTGGTGAGAAACCGGTTCCTCATTGTTGGGAGGGGCAGAGACTGGGCAAATGAAGACCTACCTAGCACCAGACAGGTGAGTAGATAGAGCAGAGAGGGAGGTGGCCCCTGATTCCCAGGACATGAGGGGTGAGCCCTGGCTGGGGAAGGCCTGCCCTGCACTTGGGCAGGGGTGAAGATACAATGACTCTGATGAGCCAACCCCAACACAGGATCTCAAGCCAGGGTGGCCAAAAGGCCAAAAGTGAGGTGAACAGAACCAAGGTGACCCCATAGCAGGACGTTTGCTGGGTGAGGGACTAGGGAGACGCTGCCCCTGAGGATTCTGGGAATGAAGAGCTGAGCCCTGGGGAGCCCGATCCAGGCCTGCTAACTCAACAAGGTGGGGCCACAGCTAGAAGCAGGATTCCCAAAGGCAAGGCCCTCTCAGCCCCTCCCCGCTAAACCCCTCATCTTTCAGATCTACATCACCTGCCAACTCCTACAAGGTACTTTCCTGGACACCCAGGCAGCAGGCAGACACCCCCTGCCCCAAGCAAGTCGCAGACCAGCCTGCTCCAACTGCCTCATGTGGGAGGATATGAGACAGGAGCCTGGAGCATCCCTACAGCTGAGCCTCTCCCATCTCCCCGCAGGGGTGAATGTGATGCTGAGGAAGATTGCTGTAGCCGCAGCATCCAAGCCAGCAGTGGAGATCAAACAGGAGGGAGACACTTTCTATATCAAAACCTCTACCACTGTGCGCACCACGGAGATTAACTTCAAGATCGGGGAGGAGTTTGAGGAGCAGACTGTGGACGGGAGGCCCTGTAAGGTGAGTGCTGGGAGGGGCCCCTGGGGTCATGGCATCCTTGCCCTGCCCCTTCACATGCCATTTTCCAGTCTTTCCCAGCTGCTTCTATCCATTCCCAATGGAGAAAGCCCCTGGGTAGTGGTGGGGGGAGAAAGGGAGTCTATCCCTTATCCCTCTCACTGCATTGTCCCTGCTGTGGGCCCAGCTCACTTGGCCACTCGTCTCTTGCAGAGCCTGGTGAAATGGGAGAGTGAGAACAAAATGGTCTGTGAGCAGAGGCTTCTGAAGGGAGAGGGGCCCAAGACCTCCTGGACCAGAGAACTGACCAACGATGAGGAGCTGATCCTGGTAAGTCCTCCTTCCCCCCAGTAGCAAAGCCAGTGCTGCCTTTGGAGATGCTCTGGGAGACTCCAAGGTGCAGGAGGTTCAAGAACAGCCATGGCTGATCTCCCTACCCTCCTCGTGGGACCTCTTGGATGGGACTAAGTTGTCCCTATCCCATATGGGGCCCTTGTGTGAGTTAGAAATGGTGTCCCTTTTGTGCAGAGCGAAGGACATGTACTGAGGAGCTCCAGGGGGGATCTTCCTGGCTTGGGGGAGAGGATAGGGCCCTGGGGGGCTCTACTGCCACCTCCCTGCAATGATGCCCCGGGCATTCTGGGACCAGCTCCTGCCTGTTGGTCCTGAGCCAAGAAGCAAGTTTGGACCTGGAGGCCAAACAGCATCTCCATTCAACTCTCCCCTTCCAAAGCCACAGGACCCCAGGGGTCACCCAGGCTAACAACTCCTTCTGTCCTTCCAGACCATGACAGCAGATGATGTTGTGTGCACCAGGGTCTACATCCGAGAGTGAGCGGCCATGGGTGCAAAAGCTGCTGGAGCCCACCGCCAGCCAAGCTCACCGCCCTACTTCATTCCCACCCTCCCTGCCATTCCCTCCTAGGCTAGCTTCTCCCCTTTCCCCTTCACTTCTGAGGGTCACTGGGATGTATCTTGCAGGGTCTTGCTTTCTTTGACCATTTCTCCCTTCCCTTATAACAACAAAGAGGAATGGCTTGCAAGAGCCCAGATCACCCTTTCCGGAATCACTACCTCCCTCCCCAAGTCAGCAGACCGTCCCCAAACCAGCCCAGGGCAGAGTCTCTCAGTAAAGGAACCTGAGGGCCTAAGAGGGAAAGACTAGTCCTCTGGCTTCCACTCTGTCCGTGTAGCCTATTCAGTTTAGAATATTTATTTGTTAATTTTATTAAAACGTTTTTAAAAAATTAAACCTGTTTGTGGCTCATTGGGAAAGGGATAGATAAGTTGTCTGAGTTCAGCTTTAATCGGTTCAGCTTTAATCTCTGAAATGTACTGTGGCAAGAGTTATGGTTCCAGCAGCATGATCTGAGTTGGACAACAGGGAGGGAACAGTCCTCCTGGTCACCCTTCTGACCACCACCCCTTCATCTGCTGCTGAATCCACAAGCTTCACCTTTACTTCTCCTCTGGCTTCCAAGGTCACCAGGGCCTCCTCCTCCTCCTCCTCCTCCTCTTGACCTTTCAGTTGGGGCGCTGACTCCCATCTTCTCCTCCCATGTTTTCCATGGTGGTGACCCAGCTTCCTCCTCCTCCTCTGTCTCCAATTGTTCTTCTCTTTCCTCCAGGCTTGGCCTGTGGGTGACCCCAGGCCTGGCCTTGGCCTCCCACATGGTTCCAGATGAGTTCACCCACACCCACAAGCTGACCTTGCTCCTGCCTAGGTCTCTGTGAGAGGTCCCATGCTGCCTGTCAGCTCTCTGTGTCAGACACAAGCCCATCTCTGCCGCCATCCTTCCTCCTCGGCCTCAAAATCTCTCGTACACTCTTCTGCCCCTGGCTTCTAGACCTTCCAGGCTCCTTGGAGCCTCCCCTCCACACTCAGGTCTATACCAAGTCTTCCCAAATTCCAGCATGATCTCTCCAAAACTCTCCTCTCCTTCCCCAGGCCACTGCCCTAGACCAGACCTTCTTGTCGCTCACCTGGTTTTACAGAGCAGCAGCTTCTAACTGGTTTGCCTGTCCTGCTGTCTCCACTATCACAGCATGACAGAGAGAAACGAGCACAGGTGTTGGAGTGAGAGGGACTCAAATCCTGGTTCTGCCATTTGCTAGCTGTGTGACCTCTGACAAGTTACTTAGTTTCTCTGACCCTTAGTTTTTTGCACTTTTAAAACACAAAATAGGCCGGGCGAGGTGGCTCACGCCTGTAATCCTAGCTCTCTGGGAGGCCGAGGCAGGCGGATTGCTCGAGGTCAG